GTCCTTATTCTATGTCACCACCATCCGGGCCAGAAAGGATGTATCTCCTCTTAGGAGGCAGGGAATCCTGATTAGCCTGGTTAGCCACATTTCTCCCATGAATGGTGGGGTCAAGGCCCTAGGAAGCTCAGACCTAGAGCTGCCTTTTGTGGTTTCCCTTTGATTTAGGCTGGAACCCCCTACCTTGGAATATTGAGGCTCAGGGCTAAACTATAAAGATCTTGAAAAGCAAGACAAATATTAAAAATCAATGTGTGTTGCACACCATTATCAATTTCTTCAATGTTGCTAAAATATGCACTGAAAGATGATTTTATTAGTAAACTTCAGCATCAAACCAGAGCCACTTTTGTCAACCTTTAACCAAAAATATTAATTAATAAAATTGGTTGCCTCCACTGCACCCACAAGACATCTCCAGACCTAGCATAGGCCTAGCTTGTGAGTAGGAGAACTTCTGCTCCCCTGCGCCCAGTTGACCCCTCTAGACTCAGCCCAGGCCCTGTGTGTGTGCGTGTGACCTTCCACCCCATTGTGCCTGCCAGACCCGTGCAGCACCAGCCCAGGCCCAATGTATGAGACCTTCCGCTGTACTCTCAGGACCCCTCCAGACCCAGGCCAGACCAGGTATAGAGGCCTGGTGTAAAACTCCACGTGCAGTCCCTGTAGAGAGGCTAGGGCCCAGAACCACCCAGCTAATCTAGGAGCAGAACATCTTGCCAGAGGGGCACAGCAGGTTCACATCCATGGGCCGCAGCAGGAAGAAGCTGAGCATAGGAGCCAGACCCAAACCAGGCACATTGGGATGAGTTTAAACTTCATAGATCTGGACCCAGTAAGCTGAGACACTTTGCTAGACCCAGATCTATGAGAGCATCCTCCCTCTTTTGCTCTTGACCAAGAGAGGGGACAAAAGGTAATTGGGGTGAACTAGTGTCCCTGGAAGGCCCCAGGTACATCAAGAGGAGATGATCAGACAGAACTTAGGGGAACTAACTTAAACACTGTTGTCCCATGTTAGCACCTCCCATGAGTTCTCCTGCAGACTCTGCTGCTGTCATGTAAGACACAAACTAGATGATGATGTGGTACAATACATCAGGATACTGCAGGACCTGAGAAAGAGAGGCCAGTGCTTGCCACTGGATGCATGGCTGGGGCTGAAAGGAGGGATGGAAGTGACTGTGGCCCTCAGATCTGGGTCCTGTCAGGCTAGCTGTGTCCTCTCGGGAGGAGAAATAACTTTATGGAGGACAGGTTGAATTGGGCTTGGAAAATACGTTTTCTTCTGGATACCAGTAGGAGTAATTGACATAAATCATCTCCCTTAAAAATCAATCAGAAATTCACTCAGCTTTCAGAAGTCCTAGTCTTCCACTTTTTTGCCCATTGCCCATTGTCACAAAATGCACCTCTTCTTTTCCTTCTCTGTCCAGCTTACTTTTCTTTCATTGCTGTGATAGAATACCCGACACCCAAAATTGAGGAAGGAAAGGTTTATTTAGGTCCCAATTTATGGAGGTTTTAGCCCATACTCAGCTGGCTACAAGGCAGAGTGGCACAAGCAGCGGCACAAGTGGCAGAGAGCAGGCCTCTCTCCTTTCCTTATATTGCATCCAGGCTATCTATCCCAGGGTGGGTATAGCATTCACATCCATAATCCCAGCACTGGACCATGAATTAATTACAAACTCTAGAAGTGCCCACCTCAATGAGTGCATGAGACTTTGAAGGGACAACTAGACACAAACCATAACTCTCACGGGAGCTCAATAAGAAAGGTGGGTAGAAAATCAGAATATTTGCACTCTGGAGTCTTATGATCTTTGCAAATTCACAATATACAGTTTATATCACCCATAGCACAAAGCCTCTAGATTGCAGGGCACCCACGTTGTGGCCAGGGTTTGTAGTTAACCCGTACACTTGACTGGCTACTATCACAGACCCACTATGAGTGCTGTACCCTGGGCCCTGTGCTCCATTCTTTGGATTTCTGGTCCAACCTTCTCTCAACATTCAAGTGTTTTGTACTGAGGGCAATGTAAGAAACACATGTGGGGGGAGCCCCCAGACCCAGTCCTAGCCCAGGTCCGGTGAGTGTGCGGAGAGTTTCCTGCTACCCTGCGCCGGC